TAATTAACATTTTTAAAAGCCTACTGATATCCAATAATGAATCATTAGGTTATGCTTAATATTCGATTTTGAAAGGGTCCATTAGGTATGCAGATATTGGTAGCTTTTGAATAAATATGAATATTTGAAATTATCTACAAGAATACCAGGGTTTCCTGTCATTATAGAGGGTGACATCAAATATAAATGTATAATTAAAATAAAAAATTACACACATTTGGTGCAATTCAATTATTTCAATTCTCCTGAAGTAGGATGATCCATCAATTATCCTTTTTGTCAATTATCAAGTAGAAATATCCGGTAAATTAATAGTAGATTGTTTTATAAGGATCAAAAGTGACATTTTGTTTGACATGCGAATTTTGCATTTGCGAGGCGGAGCGTTTAGCGAAGCCGAGCGAAAGCAAAATTTGCGAGTCGAACAAAATCACTTTTGATCCGAATGAAACATGCTATTTTTTCTGCAACCGAAACAATTAACTCAAAGAAACATGTGAAGTAACCACCAATGCCGTGCCATATGTATGCAATGCAACAAATAGTGACAAATAATCCATGTGTTAAGAATATTCTACCTGCATTAACAGCAGGTTAGGTTTTCAAGGATGTTCGAATTGTAGTTTCAATATAAATACAACCATAGAGTGACATATTTTTGTATGGACCAGGTGCTCCAATGGCAAATACCGCGCCAGTGCCAGCTATAGGAACAAGACGTGGAAAATGTTAGGTTAGTGAGCATATCAACAATGATAATAGTGATTATTTATTCCTCTCCATACTACACTGTCACTGTGTTTGACTCGTTGATCAAATGAAGCTAAATAATATCGTTGTTTGAGACAAAAAACTATTGATTGCCGTGATTATTCAAAAACAAGTTATCCATCCCGAGAATAACGAATGAAATACAGATCAAGCAAGTATTTGAATCTTGAAGGCTTCCCTGATCAAACAAAAATACTTAGCTGAGATGTTTATAGTTCCAAAACTAAACAATAATAAGGTGTATTTATATCTCCAGCATGGATATGAAATGCCAAATCTGCTGAAATCGTAAACAAATCAGGTATGCGTCTCAACCCAAATAACCGACCGTCACAATGTTGTTTATTCTTGATGACGTCCAGTACATCTTTTTCAGTTCCTAGCAGCTAAAGTTCAACTTTAGCTCCTAGGAAGTAAAATTCAACTTCAGCTCCTAGGAACTAAATATGTTGCCTAGCAACATACCTATTTTTGTGTCAGTAATAGAAACGTCAATTTAAGAGCTAATTTTGGTATCAAAATGGACGACTTTTGTGTAGGTTGCAGAAAAAACAAATTACTTATAAGACTCTGTTCCATATTGCTGATGTGTTCAATATAATGTGTCCAAATTTCAAAATCACCCCTTATTGCAGCACTTTTTTTTTCAAAAGAGGTGAATTTTTGAAATGTTGACAGATGTTGAATTTGACAGCTGACATTGTGTACCTGCGCGTCATGTTGGTGCGCAGCTGGATTTTTAATGCACCAATGGAATATTTAAGGACATTATTGACAACTGAAACAACAGGTATTGCCATAAAGTAGTTAAGCAGACGCTTAAGGAAGAGTTTCTTGTCCATGGCAATGATAGCACTGAAAACAACAAAGAGAAATTATTATTACCTATTATTATACAGGGTGGCCCACGGTCGATGGTACCTTAGACGTATACGGAAAACGGTACATTGGATTATCCTGAAAATCTGGTTACTCTAATAAGCGTTTGTGATCTAACGATTCAAAATATTTTCAGCGAAGCAGCGTTGCCACTTTTACCAAAAAGTAGCATCATCTTTGTTATTTCAAATGGAACACCCTGTATTTTATTGCGTTTTTAGATTCTTCTCGAAGAGCTGATTTCATCAATGTATCACACTTGGGGGCTAGCAGGAATTATTACAGAGATATAGGGTGTTCAAAATCGAGATTTTTCAACTTTAGGATTTTTTTGTGTCGAAACTATTCATCATTGGTCAAAACGGCTTACATGTCCCTATATTAACTTTTGATAAACTATCTACCGACATTTAATTGGAAAAAATACAGGATGGTCCAAGATTCAGAATTTTGATCACCCTGTATCTGTTCCAATTAAATGTCAGTAGATAGTGAATCAAAAGTTAAGATAGGGACATGTAAGCCGTTTTGATCGATAATGAATTGTTTCGACACAAAAAATTCCTGAAATTGAAAAATCTCGATTTTGAACATCCTATATCTCTGTAATAATTCCTGCTAGACCCCAACTGTGATGCATTGATGAAATCAGCGAGAAGAATCTTAAAACGCAATGAAATACAGGGTGTTCCATTTGAAATAACAAACAATAACAACTTTTTGGTAAAAGTGGCAACGCTGCATCGCTGAAAATATTTTGAATCGTTAGATCACAAACGCTTATTAGAGTAACCAAATTTTCAGGATAATCCAATGTACCGTTTTCCATATACGTCTAAGGTACCATCGACCGTGGGCCACCCTGTATTCTATGTGTAGTAATTGGTAGTAATTTACTAAGTCAATATTTCAAATTTGCATAAAAAGAATGTAGGTATGCCAAATGTTGATAATATATCAGAAAATCAATAGCTATCATGTAGACAACACTTTGTAAAATTAAATTCAACATGATGGAAAGCAATTAAATATAAATGAGTAATCAATAGTGATCTTTAACTAGTTGAGCGCCGCCGTACAAGGAAAAAATCTGGTCCCAGATGACCAAATTTTTTTTTATCGGTTTTGACATAATTGAGCATCACCGTTTATGTCTCTCCACGAATTTTGTCGATTTGTGATTTAGTTTTTTTTTCATAGGCCTTTTTGTCTGAGGCATGCCTTGTATGCCGCGCGGCCTGTGGGAATTATCATATGGTATAGGGCCATGCGACATACATGTCATGTTCAGTTCAGTTGCATACATTTCAGTTCATTATCTTTCCATCTCATGAGAAGCAATATATTCCGTTGTTTGTAATGTTCTTGAATAAAAAATGCAAAAATTAAATGCTTTCTTCGTTCATAGTGAAGTACCTACCAAAACAAGACCATCCTCCACTTTCAAATTGAAATATAAAAAAAAAAATCGAAAATAAAAAATATTCACGGGCCAAGACCCAAGCATTGTTCGTCAGGCCACACTCTTCAAGCCCCAATTTGATTTGTACAGTAGCGAGGCATCTCTACGATACCACACCAGAAAATATAACAGTCCGTCACGAGGCACAGTGTATATGCCGCGCTGCCCCAGGAGCAAAACTATGTGTGGCCCGCGCACTATACCTCACGGCGCTCAACTGGTTAACCTGGTGTAATAATGATCTAAACATAATAGAAGAATAATTATAGATGTATGTCCAATTTATTTTATTGGAAACTTTCTAGAGGTAATTATCATCATGCAATCAAATAATATTTGATGAAATATTTTGAAATACCAACAAGTAGTAATATAAAGAGTTGATAAGGAACATTTCAATAGGAAGTGTATAATAAATTGTTGGATGTGGTTTGATATATGTTGATTCAATTCAAATTTAATAATGCATACAATTTGACCTGTTTTGACATTGATTCAAACCACAGAAAATGGCTATTGTTAATACCTTGTTTCCAACTTAAGGAAATACATTGAACTTTATTTAAAAAGTATTCAAATCATAAATTATCCCATCTTAAGTGGCAATTTACCTTTCAATTTTGGTACCATTATCAATTAACCATAAATCACAAATAGATCTTGATATTAAACTAAGAGCAATTAATATAAATAATCCACTTTCCCCACTGGTCCAACCAGGAACAGCAATTTTTATTAATTCTACCAATTGTACTAAAAACTTCCTATCTACATGGGCTTTTGTTTTTGTTTGGCCTTTTTCTGATATGAGATATTTCACTTCCTCTTCCACCGTTTTTTTCTTTAGTTTCCTTCTGCAACAAAACATCACAATATAATAAATATCAAGTTTTTTCAATTAGGTACTTAGAAAATTGGTACATCAAAACTGTTAAAGCCTAGGTTAAGGATATGAATAAAGCTGGGAAAAAACCCAAAAACATCTCCATAACTATTCAATAGGACCTTTATTGGTTAAAGTAGGAAAAGGAAAAATGTTTCGGACCCGAATAGGGTCCATCATCAGCCTGTACGAAATTATAGAAGGTCATATATAACAGTACTTTATAGGAGCAAAATGTCCTGCAGATGATTTTAGGCTTCCATTACATCTTCAATAATTATACCACTCCACCAGTGCTTTCTATTAACGTTTATTATATCTATGCTGACCTGTCTATTTTTCCATTTTTGTTATTTTTCTTCAGTATAAACCATACTGCCACTAATGCACCAGCACCAGCAAGGGCATTATTTCTGTTCAATATTTTACTGTAGTTGGGTGCCATCATTCAACATTTTCTTTTACCTAAGCGAGAAATCAAATAATAATTTATTACGAGAGGAATATTTTATGTTCACAAAATAACCTACACTCGAGCTAAGAAAATAATGAACTGAAAAATGAGACAACAGTCAACAGTGACAATACTGACAACAGTGACAGCACTGACAACAGTGACAGCACTGACAACAGTGACAGCACTGACAACAGTGACAGCACTGACAACAGTGACAGCACTGACAACAGTGACAGCACTGACAACAGTGACAGTGATAACACTGACAACAGTGAACTGAGTGAACAGACAACAACGCACTACACACAACGCAGTGAACACAAACCACACAACTGAGGACTGAGCAGTGAGCTACTGAGCAACAGAGAAAAAAATTCAGAATATCATTTTCATTTCTACGTGCGTTGACAGATGACAGTGTTGACAGTGTTGACAGTAAAATCTCGCCGTCGGGCCGTCGCTAACCTAGCTCGCCGTTTGTTATTGTTTGTTGACAGTGAACGTGAGAAATTTGTATTTCGAATCAAATTGTGAAAAAAGAAACAAAAATGAAAGTTGAGGAAGTCAAAAGTACTGTGAAAACACAGAGAATCAGTGCTCACAGCCATATCAAAGGTTTGGGTCTAGATGATGCTGGTTTTGCCATTCAATCAGCGGCAGGATTGGTAGGACAAGAACAAGCAAGAGAGGTTAGAATCATGTTTCCTTCCCTATTATATCGTGGTTATTATCATGGATATTTTTCTAATTACATCGTTAAATAGTCTTGAATTATATCTAGATCACTGCTTTGCAATATTGCAATTTCAACTGTAGTTTTGAGGAAGGCATGCTTTATGCAGCATCACTCAAATTGGATTCAATCAGTATTGTGTATTGTGTATGATGAATTCGAAATTTCCAAACCAGCTTCTAAAGTACCTCTTCTAGAAAAAATCCTCAATATTAATTGTTTTCTATCAAATCAAAACAAAAAACAACACTAAAATGTGTCAACTGTCATGTCAATCTCCTTCAAACTGCTGGATTCTCGAAATGCGATTTAAAAGTGCGCATTTTATTACAACAGTTTGATGGATGTCCATCAACATTCCAGCGGAATTTTGCAACAGTTTGATGGTTACTTCGATTCATGCGCATGATAAAATGTTGGAATGAAAAACGCACCCCATGATGAAGTCACAATCATGTGACCATGTGCACGAATTCACATTTACCAGGAACGGTCCATAGTCGGAATTTCAGACCAATCAGGACGATATTGGCCTTGGCAGTAGAGTGTTATGTTTATTACAAGCGTCTAGCTATACCATTTCTATCTGTGGCTCTCTGAATTCCGAAGACATAATAATGTAATATAAGATTGGAAAGGAAAATATTATTTATGGGCAGACCTCGCAAACGTTGTTTTGCTATATACATTATTTCTGTTATACATTTTTTCAGTTCAATATTCATCAACACACTATTATTATTTTATTTTCTACTTCTTTTTAGTTTCGCTATCTATAAAAGCGTGTTTCTTTAGTTTTTCAAACTTCCATTTATTTCAACTTCTTTTTAGTTCACTTGAATATCCCAATTTTGACGAAGGAATCATAATATCGGACTCCTAAAACCACTCGTCCAAATATTGGAATTGAAATTATTCCCTAATATTGACGAAGGAACCATAATTTTTTATCCCGAAAACGCCCACTCACAAATTTCGAATAGAATCAAAATATTATTACAAAACTAGTCCCGTCTAGTGTCGTAGAGTATTATACTGTATGAAATATTGTACAGTCGAAGCATCATCCATCATATTGCTCCGAATTCATTAATCTAGATATTGTATGTATGATGATAATGGGCTTATATCACAAAAAATTTTTATTTCTTAATTCGATAGGACTCACCCAAACTAGCTCACCACCGCCAACCGTTTCTTGCTGTGAGCTCCCTACGTTTTATAAAAAATTATTGAAATTCCCGATTTTTCGGACCTCTGAAAACGAGGCGATGATGTGACGTCAAGACCCTAATACTGGAACAAGACTTTTCCAGACAGAGATGAATAATACATGATTTCCGACAAAGTGAATTAGTGCGAGATCACAGTTGAAAGAATTAATATATCAGTTGCCTCAGTCTCCGTCGGGCGTTTGGTATTTTCTTTCAACTATGGCGAGATGAGGCTTCTACGTCATAAGAGGGTCCGTTTTCAGAAGGTAGTATTATTTATGTTCAGAAATAAAACATTCCAGCTAATTTTTCGATCGAATTATGTCGTCAATCATTATTTATGTATGAAAGGATCATTATAAACATGGTTTGAGTTGGAAGTTCTACTAAGGTGTACACGCCCATTATGACGAATCTCCTTTCATAAACGAATATCTGGCAACCGCACAATCTAGTCGGCCACACTAGTGACATACGTAACATACAGTGGACCAAAATTTGGGAGTGTCTGATCCTATTCAAATGTAAATAGTTCCGTCTCCTGTGGATAATAGGTCTATGGATTCCTTATTTTATTTGAATTACAGGCAGCAGGTGTCGTAGTGGACATGATAAAAAGCAAAAAAATGGCAGGTAGAGCAGTCCTACTAGCAGGACCACCGGGCACAGGCAAAACCGCCATCGCTCTCGCCATAGCGCAAGAGCTCGGCAACAAAGTACCTTTCTGCCCCATGGTCGGCTCAGAAGTCTACAGCTCGGAAATCAAAAAAACGGAAGTTCTAATGGAAAACTTCCGCCGAGCCATCGGCTTACGAATCCGCGAAACAAAAGAAGTCTACGAGGGTGAAGTCAGCGAACTCACCCCCGTGGAAACCGAGAACCCGGCGGGGGGCTACGGCAAAACCGTTAGTCACGTGATCATCGGCCTGCGTACCGCCAAAGGTAGCAAACAGCTGAAGCTCGACCCTAGTATCTATGAGGCGTTGCAGAAGGAGAAGGTCGAAGTAGGCGATGTGATTTACATCGAGGCCACTAGCGGTGCTGTCAAGAGGCAGGGCAGATCTGACGCTTACGCTACCGAGTTTGATCTGGAAGCTGAGGAGTATGTGCCTCTGCCGAAAGGGGACGTTCATAAAAAGAAAGAAGTCGTTCAGGTAGGAATGGGGGATTTCGGTCCAAGTTGCCAACCTAGAAACCTCATACCAAAGAAGCCACTTTCGAATTTCAACATGAGACACATCTCATAATTTTAGGCTCATTTTAGGCTAATTTATTACCCCATTCCCGAATTTTTTTGCGCCTTCCTCCAGCAAAGCCATTTTTGAAAAACAATATTTTTTTATGATCTGATGTAGTGCAAATGTAGTGCTCATTTTAGGCTGATTCATTACCCTATTCCCAATTTTTACTCAAATTGCTTCATTTTGATGGAATCTGATTGTAGGAGTCTACTGAGCTCACGAATTGAAGTCATTCAGAAGAAAAATTTATTTTTGTGAACTTCAGTTCTGATTAGTTGAAAATTCGCGAGATTCACGAAGTGGACGACATCTAGGTTACATAATACGAACTTCAAACTGAGGGAAAACAAACTGTTGTCTATGGATAAAGTGTATAGACTACATTGCATTCAGCTTGCTGTCAATGTCATAAAGTGTTGGCACTGTTGGTGATGATGGTTGAGTTGGTTAATTTTTTTACATTATTACATTTTTATTAGTTTAGTGAACAGTGAACAGGTGAAGAATTGGAGATAGTTGAAACAATTCAAACTAATTATGTCGAGCAAATCAATTGACATATAAAAGAACAGCTACAACATGTTTACAATGCCCAGATTGTCCTGCTTTGCAGGAACAAATACAAATCCATTGTTCTACAGGAGTTCCTGTGGACCCCAACTTCAATTTTACTTCATGTGGGGAAGATTTCATCGCCGAAGTTTGTAGACAAAGTGCAAAAATGTGCCTTTCGTTGAAGTCTTCTGCCTCACACAAAATCACATGATTAGCACGGAGAACTGCTTATCCTTCCACTACTTGGCGGCTTTAAGATTATTTTATTTATGGACAACATTAATATTTATCATTATTAGGTAAAGAAGTTTGATCGTTGCAGTTGGAAGTAGGAATATATTTGAGTGCTAAAAATCGATCCGGGCATGACTTAGTAAGATTAAAATACTGAAGTTTCAACTTTCTGAAATGAAGAATAACCCAAGGAAGTGTCTTTAAGTGGATACAACCATAACTGTTTGCCAACGAAGAAATCACAGTCGATATCATAAATAAAAATACTAACATACCTATGTAATAAGAAGCGTTTTCTTAGTAACAATATAGCAAAAGGGAAAAGGAATCGTGCAATAAATACTTTAAATGCTTACATCACTCACCTTGGATAAAAACTGGTCGAAGTTTCCAATAATAGAGATACATATCCGAGGGGTAAATCACGGCGAAAAAAATTGTACATCAAACTTCCCATGGGTCGAAACTTCCCAAACTTCCTCGAACTTCCTCAAACTCCCCCGAACTTCCTCAAACTTCCCCGAATTTCCTCAAACTTCCTCGAACTTCCCAAACTTCGTCGAACTTCCTAAACTTCTCGAAACGTTTCAGACTTCACAAACCAAGTGTGAGCAATTCAATATTTATCAATTCAAAATTTGTTCCTTTCCCTATGGTAGGTAGGTATCTCGCTAGGTATATACAGGGTAGTCCAGTTTGTAATACAAAAAATTCAACAGTGTGTTGTACTCGTTGAGATAATGAAATACTTTTAAACGCGTCGTTCTCGAGATATAGGGTCTTGAAAATACGAGTCTGAACGAGTCTGATTATTGTTTTTTGATGAAGAGTTCGAAACAGTCTGAGATAAATGAACAAAATTTCTAACAGATACTAAACTTTTTTCGCTCTATAAGGAGGAATAATAAGTATTTCATAAAGTAACCCAGTGGCGGCTGAATATGGGGGTGGTGAAGGATAAAAATCACCAATTTTTTTGTGCATTCACATATGGCAAAAAATCAATATCGCCTTCCGTACGAGCATGGTGATCTGAATTTAAAGAAGTATACTCTGGTAATTTTTCTCTGTGGATCGTTCCTTCGGTTCGGCTTGACTGGATGGATTTTGTTGCAAGTATCAAACACTATGCTTCTCGGATCTGCAACTGTACATCATATATCAAATATTGGATCATATGAATACAAAATGATCATTATTAGATGCTGTACATACATGGATGTTGAATTAGAAACTCCCCTGAATATTTTTGCAAGGTTCGTAGTTGGATTGCATTATATAAGTTCTGTTTCCGAATAGAAGTTTGCTCAGTAGGCTCCATCCACATTTCCATTTAATGTGATTCATATTAAAGACCTGGAATCCCAAACACTGTGCTGCTCGGACCTAAAACTAAGTATTAATTTGAAATTTGTATCGTGAGACGAACATGGAATAAAGTCTGGATATTGTTTTCAACATTCGTAACTGGAATGCGATATATTTTTGTAATTTATCAATTAATCAACTATCTCAATGAATACGAGACAGGCAAATAAACAACAGTTTTCTCTGTGATGAAAAACACTGTATATACCTAACCCATTTAGCGTCTACCTCCTTTGCAGAGAGGGTTTATGAACGCAAAGTTGGTACTCTCCCCTCGTAAGGGTACCTGTCGTGTTTCCATAGAGACATAAAGGTGAATATCTGTCTATCTGTTTGCTTGAGAATCTGGAAAAGAAATCAATATATCGCCTTCCGTACGAACATGGTGATCTGAATTTAGAAAATTATACTCTGGTCATCTTTCTTTGTGGATCGTTTCTTAGATTCGGCTTGACTGGATGGTTTTCTCGGATTTTGTGTCAAGTATTAAACACTGTGCTTCTCGGATTTGCAACTCGACATACATAAAGGTGAATATCTGTCTATCTGTTTGCTCGAGAATCTGAAAAAAAAAATATATCGCCTTCCGTACGAGCATGGTGATCTGGATTCAAAGAAGTATACTCTGGTCATTTTTCTCTGTGGATCGTTCCTTCGGTTCGGCTTGACTGGATGGCTTTCTCGGATTTTGTTGCAAGTATCACTATGCTTCTCGGATCTGCAACTGTACATCATATATCAAATATCGGATCATATGAATACAAAATGATCATTATTAGATGCTGTACATACATGGATGTTGAATTAGAAACTCCCCTGAATATTTTTGCAACGTTCGTAGTTGGATTGCATTATATAAGTTCTGTTTCCGAATAGAAGTTTGCTCAGTAGGCTCCATCCACATTTCCATTTAATCTGATTCATATTAAAGACCTGGAATCCCAAACACTTTGCTGCTCGGACCTAAAACTAAGTATCAATTTGAAATTTGTATCGTGAGACGAACATGGAATAAAGTCTGGATATTGTTTTCAACATTCGTAACTGGAATGCGATATATTTTTGTAATTCATCAATTAATCAACTATCTCAATGAATACGAGACAGGCAGATAAGCAACAATTTTCTCTGCGATGAAAAACACTGTATATACCTAACCCATCTAGCGTCTACCTCCTTTGCAGAGAGGGTTTATGAACGCAAAGTTGGTACTCTCCCCTCGTAAGGGTACCTGTCGTGTTTCCATAGAGACATAAAGGTGAGTATCTGTCTATCTGTATGCTTGAGACTCTGCAAAAGAAATCAATATATCGCCTTCCGTACGAACATGGTGATCTGAAGTTAGAGAAGTATACTCTGGTCATATTCCTTCGTGGATCGTTTCTTAGGTTCGGCTCGACTGGATGGTTTTCTCGGATTTTGTGTCAAGTATCAAACACTGTGCTTCTTGGATTTGCAACTTAACATACATAAAGGTGAATATCTGTCTATCTGTTTGCTTGAGAATCTGAAAAAAAAAATGAATATATCGCCTTCCGTACGAGCATGGTGATCTGAATTTAAAGAAGTTTACTCTGGTCATTTTTCTTCGTGGGTCGTTTCTTAGGTTCGGCTTGACTGGATGGTTTTCTCGGATTTTGTTGCAAGAATCAAACACTGTGCTTCTCGGATCTGCAACTGTACATTACATATCAAATATCGAATCATATGAATAAAAAATGATCATTATTAGATGCTGTACATACATGGATGTTGAATTAGAAACTCACCAATATTTTTGCAACGTTCTTAGTTGGATTGCAACATATAAGTTTTGTTTCCGAATAGAAGTCTCCTCAGTAGGCTCCATCCACAATTGCATTTAATGTGATTCATAATAAAGACCTGGAATCCCAAACACTGTGCTGCTCGGACCTAAAACTAAGTATCAATTCGAAATTTGTATTGTGAGACGAACATGGAATAAAGTCTGGGTATTGTTTTCAACATTCGTAACTGGAATGCGATATATTTTTGTAATTTATCAATTAATCAACTATCTCAATGAATACGGGGCAGGCAGATAAACAACAGTTTTCTCTGCGATGAAAAACACTGTATATACCTAACCCATCTAGCGTCTACCTCCTTTGCAGAGAGGGTTTATGAACGCAAAGTTGGTACTCTCCCCTCGTAAGGGTACCTGTCGTGTTTCCATAGAGACATAAAGGTGAATATCTGTCTATCTGTATGCTTGAGAATCTGGAAAAGAAATCAATATATCGCCTTCCGTACGAACATGGTGATCTGGATTTAGAAAAGTATACTCTGGTCATTTCTTTTTGTGGATCGTTCCTTAGGTTCGGCTTGACTGGATGGTTTTCTCGGATTTTGTGCCAAGTATCAAACACTGTGCTTCTCGGATTTGCAACCTTACAATCCTTACATACATAAAGGTGAATATCTGTCAATTTGTTTGCTTGAGAATCTGGAAAAAAAAATCAATATATCGCCTTCCGTACGAACATGGTGATCTGAATTTAGAAAAGTATACTCTGGTCATCTTTCTTTGTGGATCGTTTCTTAGGTTCGGCTTGACTGGATGGTTTTCTCGGATTTTGTGTCAAGTATCAAATACTGTGCTTCTCGGATCTGCAACTGTACATCATATATCAAATATTGGATCATATGAATAAAAAATGATCATTATTAGATGCTGTACATACATGGATGTTGAATCAGAAACTCCGCTGAATATTTTTGCAACGTTCGTAGTT